ATATGAAATCCAAGGTATCCGTATACCTTCTGTCTCTAAGTGGTTCTTTGGTAAAGGATTCCTCCTGGCAGCGAATGGTACCAGCCAAACCTGAAAAAGTGAATACTGTTTGGAATGAGAACAAGTATTTAAGAATTTTTTAATTTTAACTTTATTTTTGTGGCTGAAAAAACTATCTCGTTACAGTTTTCATGCCAAGGAAAATACTCTAAATGCTTTCTATTTATCAGATCTCCAATTCATCTACAACTCCATGGAGAATCACCATCGTCCAACAAATTCATCCTTTAGAAAAATTGAAGATGTATCATGGAAAAAAGAAAATCATTTATCAGTTATCAGTCATCTAGTCCATCAAAAAAAGCCGCGTTGAAGTCCTTGTCTTTCTATCTTTCTTTTTCCCTTAGGCATCATTTACCGCAGTTCTTTTATCAGTTGTCAACCAATAACTAGCGAGTACATCATAGCGTTTCCTTTACAATCGAATGTACCATAATTTAATCGTTCCTGTGCGATTACTTAGTAGGTAAAATTGTTTCTTGAACTCGATAATTTAGTGATAACGGTAATAACAAATATTTCAGTTCTTATAACATTCACTTTGTAACTCCTTTGTCAACTCATTGATAAGCTGCATTGATAACCTGAAGTCGTACTTATAAACAGGTGCAAACCCAACAGCGGGCCAGTCTGGCTTGGTACCACTCCCATACATCAACAAATAAGGATGAATTATTTGTTTTGACAAAATTTTGCTAACATAATTATTAAGCTGCAAAGAAAAAATTATGTCACGCACGCACTTTTCCAAAAATTTAAATTTTGGAATTCGACCAAGAATTAATTCGAATTTGCCAAAATCTGTTGGTTGGTTTTTAGATTTTGTAGTCCTATATCGCTTGTTCCCCCTTTTCGAAGAACCACTCTATACTTCTTATTTCTATTGATTTTTTACTTGTTTACTTTTTTTTTCACTTTTTTCGCGCATTTATTTGTGTTTCTCTATTTAATCATTCGTTGTTTAATCCGCTTACTTTTATTATTCATATTTATTGATTTCTTATTTATTGTTATTTTATTGATTGCTTGTCTATTCATATATTCTCACCACTTTTTTACTATTTATTTTTTTTATTATTTCATTTGTTTTCTTTTTTCAGTTGTTCTTTGAATTAAAACTACTAATTTAAATTGTAAAATTAAAGTAAACCAATTTAATTAATTCGTAGTAAATCGCTAATTTTATTATTTTTTTTAATTTAAAATATTATTTTAATTTATTATTTAATTGGCCATTCGTTCTTCCTTTTTTTTTTCTTAGAATTTTACGATTTTTAATTTATCAATCCATTCATCGATTTGTAAGGTTTTCATTCCTTTGTAGCGCCAGAAATTTTCTAATTCCATGGTATTTATCATTTTCACTTTATTCATCGATTCTTTTATGGATAGAAGGAAGGAAAGTTTGGAAGAATGAAGGTCTATGGAGGTTGAGGAACTTTTTTTAGGCCACTCTTCTGGCATTTCGCACCAGGGAGTCCCTTGCCAGTAGAAATACATTAGGTGAATCGCCAGCCGGGCAAGTTTCTGGACAGGTGCGGGAAGTGGAATCACAGAATTGGCGCAGAATTGAGCAACAACCCATCGAGCCATTCTTTTCTTTGCTTTCCTCATTAGGCCAAGATATTGCTGCTTGAAAGAGTGTGGTGCGTTGGTCGTATTTGAATCCAATCCTCTATTCTCGGTGGAAGTTATCTTACCATTGAACCACCAACCCAATCTTGAACTTAATTATTACTGCTTATTGTATTAATATATCTTTTCTGAAGTAACTCATTGGCGTCCTATTCATCATAGAAATCTGTATAGCCAAACAAATCTAAAATTTTTTGAAAGAAGAGGAATACAAAGCTTCTCTTTTTGGTGATCTAAGGAAAATTAAGTTGAGCCAGCGTTTTTTATTTTTTTCTATTTTTTAAATTTCTTATATTTTCCTGTTGTTAATTTTTTTATTTTTTTATAATAATAATAAATAATTAAATAATAAAGATAATAATTTTTTTATTATCTTTATTATTTTTTATTATTATTATAATTATTATTTTTATTATCTCATTATTTATTATAACATATTACCTTTTACATAATTTGAGAGCTGCGAATTTTTTAAAGACTTTTTTTAAGGTACTTTTAGAAGAAATACTTAGTTTTCTCCAAGCATTCAGATTAATTCATGGCATCTTCCAGGCTTTTATTAGGCTGAAATGATTTACATAAACTAAAGAATTCTTTAGTTTTTGCTAGTCTCTCGAGTGGATTCGTAGTTTTTGCGAGAGTTTTAAAAGGTGAATGGGTTCGCTAGCATAAGCCATAAATTTGCTTTCTAGAATTTTGCTGGTTTAGTTGAACGAAATAGTCCGATGGAAATGATTCACAGAAAAAAAATCAGGTAATTTCGTGCAACTTCGATATTTGCAAGTTGTCAGTTGTAAATTATGCATGGTTTATAGGGAGGAAAAAATTATTATTACGAATTAATGACCTTGATCGAATGTTTATTGGTTCTATTTATTTTCCTCAAAATTCCGTTCTTTGTTATGTGTGAAAAGCGATATTCTTACTTTTTTTCATATTAAATTTTGCCTTTAAAATTTGCCTTCATTGAAATGATATTCGCTAAATTTGTAGAGAAAATTTTTCCTTCTAATGAAAATTATTCTGCTTGAGTGGTATACAAGTTATTTTCATTTATCTCCTTCATGAATTTGTTGTGAAAGAAAATTTTTGTTTTAATTATTTTTATTTTTTTAATTAAGAAAAAATTATATTTCTTATATTTGATAATGTTTAAAATGAGGAAAATAGAGAGGAATGCAATAGATTTCGCTTCTTTTTCAATAGTCTTCGATGGCTGTTGATCATATTGTTTTTCATGGCAACCACATGATGTTGTTTCGTTGGAAAATAAGTATTTTTATTTTCTTTTCATTTTTTCTTTCTCGTTTTTTTTTTCTTCCATTGACTTGGCAGATGAAAATACTTATTTATAGCGTAATTTTATATATTAGGCAAAGATTTGAAGCATAAACAATTGTATTTCTACGAAATTTTCTTTTTTTTTATGTTTTTTTATGTTCATTTATTGAATTTCTAAACAATTTTTATTTTATTTTACGATTTTACGTTCAATTTGTAAGAGTGTTTCAAAAATTGATTGGTTTGTTTTCTCAAAGCATTCGTAAATATCGTTCAATTTATGCATTTTATATATTTCTGATCATCTGAAGTGTGAAGGACCATAAGGACTAGAATGGATCAGTGGGTTGTTATTCTGATTTCATCGACACTGGAATTTTATTTTTGGCAGCGATAAACCTGTCTTTCGAAATTGCGGAGAGCGACCCAGCTCTGTTTGTATCGCCAAGTGTAATTCGCTAGCAGAATTTATCTCTAGCTAAGCGGAATTGATTAGCGTCCTTAGAAAAAAAGACCGTTAAGACCGTTGGCGAGAAGGAATAATAGAAAATAGGATAAAAATAGGAAAATAAAAAATTTTTTAAATGGCGATCGTTGCGGAGCATTGGTGAATATTTGATTTTGGTGCCGGTGCGAACGAAATCGGTATGCGTACTAAAAATTTTCATCTTGATATACTAACTTGTACATATTTTTTTGACTCTGAAGAAAGTTGATAAATAGAAAGTGAGTGATTCAAAATTGGCATTGATGGATGTGTTTCGTGTAGAGATTGTTTGTCGAGTGAGCGAATCAGCTCTGTTTGGATTATCTGTTTATTTTGGTCTTTAAAAGTTTTGGCGTATGAATTTAGATTATCGAAAATTAATCGGAAAATTTTTAAGAAAATTGAAAAACTAAGAAATTAGGGGAAAAAGTTTAGGAAAAAAAATTAGATAATTAAAAATTTGCTCATATTTAATAATGGATTTTCCTCAGTGGAATTTCAACCAGTTTTCATAGATTATTTTTCTATTTCTAATTGGAAATATTTATTCTCTTAAACTCCTCTTAAACTATTTTATTTTTCTTATTTAATAGTTTTATTATTTTTTTAACTTTTCTATTTTAATAATAATATTTTCGATAATTTTATATAATTTATATAATTTTATAAATTTATTTTGATTTGTTCGTATTAAAAAGTACGGTGGAAGGGCGAATAATATTTTTTACGGCTTCATTGATAACATTCGCCATCTTTAATATTTTAAGATAGGATAATAAAATGTGTAAATTATTACAAAGTGGTAGGAGCAGTCTAATTAAAAAGTTTAATGATTTCTCACAAACTGCATTAATTATCATAGATTTAAGATTAGAATTGTTTGTTTTATTTTATCGCATATTTGCTGAGATTTTTATTATCATAAATAATCATTTCGGCTCATTTTTATTATCATAATTTTTTCAGCTTTTAATTTTAATATTATTTACATTTTTGGAGAAGTTGTTAATAAAATGAAAAATTCTTATTTGTAGGAAGAAAAAATTTTAGTTTTTTTGCAAAAATGTTTGTATAAATTTTGTAATTCGATTGTATTAAAAAATGTGATGGAGGGTTTTTTAGCGATTTTTTGCGATGAATTAAGATGGCAAATTTAATTATTTAAATGTAAAATACACAAAATACAAAATTTTGATTTAATTTTAGGGTTGTTCTTTATTCAGTAGAACGATTCTAATGAAGCTGCATAAATGCATTCCTTATGTTAGTTTTTTTTAATATAGATTTTTGAAACAATTCATTTATATCGAAATTTAGTTGCATTAAGTTTAAGCTTTTATTTTTAACGAAAATATTTGTGTTTGCTGGTAATTTAATGAAAAAATTTATAAAAATTATTTATTTTTTTGTAGTTTTATTTTTTAAAAATTAAAAATTATTATCTTTCATTATTTCATTATTTTATTTCATTATTATTATTATTTTTATCTAATTTTTTTATTAATTATTTGTAATATATACGTAAATATTTGAAGGTGAACGAGTGTTAGCGAAAGAGAATGCCCAGTTTGGTTTAATAGCGATTCGATCGGCAAATATCTTTGTTGGACCACCGTTAACGCAATTATCATTTAATGGAAATATTACAGGAAATGGCGGAAACTGTAGGGTCAGATTTTCAATGAAAAGTTTTTTAGTAAAGAATTTTGAAAAAATAGAATAAAACGTTAATTATTATTTTTTATGTATACGATATATAATATATTGTTCAGTGCTTTGGTTTAGCTTTAAATTATTTATGACGTTATCAGTTATGCTATAACTTATCAGTTATACTATAACGTCTTCCTTATATAACTTAAAAGAAATTGCGATTTTAATGCGTTGTATTCATTTTCCAACTAATTACGATTATCATTATATATATTTCGTCCTATGTGTATATATATATATATATATATATTTCGATATTTCAGATTCTAAGTGCTCCAACTATATGTTCAATCGATTGTGCAGCGTTAAGCCATGATGAACGAACAATTGCTTATTCCACTTCTACAGCTGTTAAGCTAGTTGATCTAAATACAGGTTACTGAATAAAAATAAAGAGGCCGAAAGGCTTTTTCGATTTTTGTATAAAATTTTTTTATAAAAGAAATTACCATTCCAAAGTTTTTTAGGCCGTGAAATGCGAACTTTGGTCGGTCAAAATGGTCGAATAAACAATGTCACACAAAGCAATAAGTACGTATAGTTGCTTTCCTATTAATTTTCAGAATTCAATAAAATTTTTTTGCAACTTTTTCATTTTTTACCATTTCTCATGAAATCGTCTATTTCTGAAAAACTGATCCAAGTTTTGTTTAATTAATTTCAGGTCAATTTACTCATGGGCATCAGTGTCATCAGATTGTACAATAACAATATGGGATACACGGCAACATCCCGCCAATGTTTTAACTCGTCGACTTGATCGATCTGCGAATTGCCTTCTTTTCAGTCCAAATGATGCCTTTATTGCTATTGGATCTGATCAGTTATATATGATGGATCCTCGTATCAGGGATATGAGATCTCTTCCAACTTCATCTCAGGTTTCTAATTCTTTCAATTCGACTTTTAATTCAATCGCACTATTGATTTGATTTTTGGGAAAAATTTTGTTTTTTTCATTATTGCAATTTTAATGATATTTCAATTAAAAAGTTTTATTTATTTAAGTTTTGTTAAAAAGTTTTATTTATTTATTTAAGTTTTGTTTATTTTGTTTATTTCGGTTTATTCTTTCTTTTTTCCTTTGTTATTAAAATTTCTTTTTCTTTCCTTTGCTATTAAAATTTCTATTTCTTTTGATCTCTTTTGATCCTTTCTTCTTGAAAAAATTTTTATATTCAACATTCCATAAAATTAATTATTTTATATTAAATTATTTTATAATTATAATTATTTTATATTAAATTTGCATTATTTTAGGTATTAGTTTGTTTGTTATGATAAAATTTGTTGGATTATTATTTGTTGACTTTAGCCTTAATTTAGGTGCTTCACGTTTGCTTTCATCCGTCCTACTACCTTCTTGCAACTGGCTCCGATGATCGTCTTGTTCGATTCTGGGATATTGAATCTGAAGAATGTGTTTCGAAAAGTGAACCAAGTGACGGCGCATTAAAGAAAATTGCCTTTCAGAATGATGGCTCATTACTTTTCACTTTGACTGACCGGTGAGATTTTTTTTTTTGATAGAGTTGATTAGGGAATCATCAAAATAGATAGAACTTTTATTTTTTAATTGTAATCATATTATTATTGATTGCTTTTATCTTTTAATATTGCTCTCTTTCATAATTTTAAGCATTTGCTTTGTAAATCTTATTGCAGTACAATTTATTTTTATTGCCAATGCATATTTTGGCCATTTCTCATGGAATTTTATGGAAATATAAATCGTCTCCCAGCTGTTCGCTGCAAAGAATAATTCAAGCAATAAATAGGAGATTAAATCATTTCGTTTTTATTGCTTAAATATACTCGTGATTTTACAGGCGTTGTGGAGCGATTTGTTGGGAACCATTCGAAGTGCTTGGTCAGTGTTTTCTCACTGATTCTAATCGGTCATTGACGTTAACTAGTAATGATTCGGATGTTCTCTTACTTGCTCATTCAACAGTGACTAATAAAATTTCGCTTTCTTCGCTACCTATTGCGGTATTTTTTAAAGAATTATTTATAATTGGTACTTTAAAATATATAAAACTGGAACTTTTTAATATTTATATTCTATTATGGCTTATATAATCCATATGAAAAAAACGAAAACAATATCTTCTGCCCTCACATCGACATATGAGATATTTCTTTGAAAAATTGAAAATTGATTAGTCTGAATTAGATTTTAATTGAATATGGCTGAAGAAGTATTTCATGTTTTCTGTCTTTCAGTTTTCATTTTTTTAATGGAATCGTAGTAGTAGGAAGAAGAAATAAGGAATATTTTCATAGAAAGTCAACTGCGAAGTCATTTTCTATAATTTCCGTGCTGGTCACTTCTAACCTCTGCTTGACATTGTATTGTTAGTTTAGTAGTAACTTCGTACTAAACAGAGTTATTTGGTTGCTTAGCGACATATTAGACGTCTTTATTCAAATTGAGATTATATTGCTTTAAATCGAATGTTGATATGAACTCACATTTCTCTGGTTTCCATAAAATTTGAGTATTTGAAACGTATTAGCTATATTTTATGGCGTTTTTTGCCATTAATTGGTCTTTTTCGTTTTTTCCGAAGGAAATTCACATATTTTTCAAAGAAAAATCAAAAAAGCGAAAATGAGCGAAATTTTCATGAGAAAGTAATGAGAGAAACGTATCTCTCATGATAAGTCTGCTTTAAATGACCTTAGAATACTCGTTTCAGCATATTTGCTTGCGGATCTTTTCACAAATAAGATAGTACAGTTTTTTAATAAACACATTAATTTTATGGTAAATAAAATGAATGATTGGCGCTTACTATTTTTCATTAAGCTTGCTGCACTTGCTGATAAGAAACGTGGATTTATATTTTTTATTTAGGCTATTCTTCGTTTTCTGGTGTGATAGTAATCTTGCAGAGATTCATTCGTCATATGGGATGCTACTTGGGTTTTTTAATAACAGGTTTTTAATTATATTCTTATATGTATATTATACATGATGCAACATGAATCGTGCTTCTAAGACAATAATCTGCAATAACCACTCGATTGCCGCTTGTTGTAAGCATAATATTAGGGTGAATAGGTCAATTTTTGAAGTATTTTCATTCATGTTTCTGCAAATATTCTGTTGTCCTCTGCCTTTCACTGAAAATTTTCTCAAACTTCGAAATGACCAAAATATACGATTTACAATCGAGTGAATTTCAGTTTGTCGGGAATTTTATAGATCGAAATATTTGCTTTTTTCGTGTTTTTATATGCATTTTCTTTGTCATATCAGACTCGTTCTTTCCGGCAAATATCATAACGGAGAGAAGGATTTTTGATGAACTTAGTTCCGTCCCCTAATTATATTTTCTTGGTAACTGTTGTTGGTTGCCAAGATATTTGTGATAGTTTATTTCGCTTCCAAGATATTTTACTTGGTGGTCGTGTCGTCGTGTCGCCCTTACTTATATTTCTTTTCATTGCAATCTGCTACCTTTGAATACCTTTCATGCAGTTTGAATTTTCTTCTTCTTGGTTTGCCAATATTCGTCGATTTTCTCCAATATTTATCTCCAATATCCTAAGTTTTTCCTGTTAAAAAATCGCGGATGTATTTCATATGGCTTCTAGTTAATTTTGAATTTTTACCATTTTTTTCCAACTTCATCAATCAAAATATTCAATTATTCTTTATCGAACATTTTGATTCATTACATTATGACTCAAAATTCGTAATATAATATAAGATGTCTGAAGTTCGCTGTAGCAATCGATTTATTATTGGAAAGGTTAGTGAGTATAAAGTGTCAATTTACACTGAGATATGTGATTGAAAAATAAAATCTCTTGTGGAATGGGTAATCTGAAATAATTTTTTATATATTTCAAAAATCCTATCCCTAACAATATTTTTAGGAATTATTAAGTGAGGAATTTTCAAAAGCAGAATCAATCTCAATAGCAGAAACCTTATTGGAACGTGCCGATAATCGAAGAGTGAACAAAGAGCAAGGAGGAAATGAAATAAATATAGAAACATTAAGCGACTTTGAAGCTAACAATGGTGATGCTAGTGGTAGTAGTTCTTTCGACGAAGCAGTAAATGGAGATCCATTTGTTCCCAAAAAAACTCTTCCACGTACACCACCACAACGGCGTAGTCCAATTCCTTCAAGAACGGAGATAAGTATATTGCCACCTGAAGAGGTTAATTTTCATATCGTTTTTGGTAACATAGTTGGAAACCTTGGAGGGTTTTATTGGCGTTTTATGTTTTATGAAATAATTTTATATTGGTAATCATCTTAAAATATCACTAATACCTAAAAAATTTAAGCATTGTGAAGGCCCTTAGAAAAAACTGCTTATTGTTCACCAAATGTCCATTAAAGTCTTGGGAACATGAAAATGAACTTATAAAAGCATAAGGCCTAGAAAAACAATTTAGGACGATTCAATATTATATAATAGTTGTCGTATAGTGCATAACTAATGATATAAATAACTTATTATTGATACTGCCGGCCTATATAACGCATTTTTAAAGAAGCTGGTTTTTTATTGCTATTGTAGAAGTTTTTGATATCGGCACCAACTCGCATGCAGTTGCCAAGACCAAAATCGCTGAAAACTACAAAACGCGAAACGAATTCCAAGTACAATTTTTCATTTCAGGCTTAAAATGCTTTATGGTAATATAGATCTGATTTATTGAAATCTGCAAATTTTCAGAATTTCTGAAAAAATTCTGAAAAATAGAATGGGAAGTATTGCAGCTTCGCGGTCTTCGCAATCGCCGCTTGGTTCCCATAAACAGGCAAATGGTAATATCATCTATATACTTACATTTTTTTTAAAATTTAAGTTGTAGTTATTTTTATGAATTTTACTAGGATCCCAGAATCCTTCTTGATTTTCATTTGTTTCCCATTTTTCTTCGAGCCAAACTGATTATACATAACTGATTATAATTATACATTCGTATACTTGTCAAGTTTTGGGCTTTTTTGGTTCATGATTCATAAATTTTATTTCCGGATCTGTTATATTTTTTAAATTTTAAATTTTAAATTTCAGGAAATATTTCTCATACGTGTTCTGCTCCTGATGTACGATGTAATCCACGGAAAAAACCATTGGAAAAAGAAAAAGTATTTTTAAATTTTATTGTATTCTTAATAAGTTCCATTTCATTCCTAAAACCCTTTCCATTTGTTATTTTCTTTTAGTATATCTTAAAATCTTTTTGTACTTTTGCTCTTTCTCAAGCCTAAGTTTAATTTTCTTGACAAATAAGTTCACTCACTCACTAATTGCAAAATTATTTTATCCTAACCTAATCCTCTCACACGATGTTATACTCTCTCAGCGAAGCCCCATTATGCCTTTATCCCCTCAATACTCGTAGCTTTGTTATGCTCCTCTGAAACCTCCATTAATTACCTTCAAGATCCGTAAGCTCCCCTTCAAGCCCACTTAACTAATGTTTATCATTAAGTCATAAGTTTTATTATTATTGACAAGCGTTTCTTTTCTTACCATGTTGCCATACTGTGGACTTATTGAATGGGTGTTGAAGCTTAAGCCTATGTTTTGTATAACTTGCAGTTATTTACCTATAATTTAAATGGGTGTTAAAGCTTAAGCTTATGTTTTGTATAACTTGCAATTATTTACCTATAATAGAAGTAACTAATTGCCGTTTAACCTTTTTACTTCAGTGGATTCCCGAATTAGGTAGAATCATTCAGTACATTGCGCCGATGCCTGGGTTCTACTCCTAGCAGGGTCAAGCTTATCTTTCAAAAATCCGGGTGATGCTGGCAGCACCTCCTCTTCTTCGCCGAATGACTCCCTGGCAAAATTTGTCTAAACTGACAAGCCAGCGGAGCGAGCAGAAACATTGTTGGAAAAAAATTCTAAGGCAAACAATTATTAATTTTTTATTTTTTTCTAATTTTTTTTATTTGTTACAACATCAACAATATCTGTCGAGGAATTTTAGCTTATTCTTGATTTGCATCGTGTTTTGCTTTGATGTCATCTTCTCAGATTTTTGCTTCAACCTTATATTTAAAGCGAATATAATATCATACAATAAAATTGCAATAAAAATGTTCTAATTATAAATGAATTATAATGAATTTAAAAAAAAAAAAATTAAGGAGGAAAAAACATCGCGCAATATCAATCAGAAAAAGGAAATAACGTTGTATGAAACGCGTTCTTCAGAATCAAAGCTCATTAATCGTCTGGTTCATGACCATGAAAAATTGGAACAAATCTTATTACTGCGACAGCGACATCTCGAATCAGCATTGCAATGTTGGCGCAGTCGTGGATTTGAAGCAGCAATTAATGAAGCTAGTCGAGCAAATGATAATGCAGTGCTGGTGGAATTAATTGATGCTATAAATCATTCACCATCTTTATGGTCACTTACAATTTGCGCTTCTGTTTTGCCTCATATTGAGCTTCTTATTGCTCATAAAAATGAGGATTTCACTGAGGTCTACAATTTTATTCTCCTTTTGATTTTTAGATTCACAATGCATTGAATAAATTTATTACAAAATTTAGCCATTGGATTTATCGAATTCCTCTTTCTTAAATTGTTCAGTTTTATTTTTGAGTAGAAAATATAATAAAAGAAATTTAAATTCAGGTCGCTCTTGCATCGTTGCGTACGATAATTTGTGGATGTGGCGAGATCATTCGAAATGGTTCACAGCGATCGAGTATTGGTGTTGATGTGACTGCTGATGAAAGGCATAGTAAATGCCTGAAGTAATTTATTTATTATATTAATTTAATACTGCATTTAATACTTTATTATTAATATCATTCGTAATTTATAACTGTGAAGGAATTTTTTTACTGCATTTAATACTTTATTATTAATATCATTCGTAATTTATAACTGTGAAGGAATTTTTTTCACTATGGTCCTCTGAGGTGAATAGAATGGTAAGGAATTAATTTTTTTTTTCTTTATTTTATGTATGGTTTTGTTTGAGAAGTCCATAGCTTTCATCAGGTGAACCTGAAAAAGATTTATAAAAAGCAAACATCTTATAAGTCGCAAATTTAAATAATTGGTCTGTTTTATTGCTAAATTATTTCTATATTTTAAACATCTTATTCTCCCACTCTAAATGCATAGAGTTAAAAATTGCCAGATTATTTGTTCTAATCGAATACTATAGGTGTATGCAGCAGTTGACGAGTTTGCGAGTTAAAGCATCACTGTTAACAGCCAAAATGAACAGCAATCATCTGCGAGAATTCAATGCTCTTATGCAAATACTGGACGAGAATTTCTCACTTTGAAGCATCTCATTGTTTTATCTGTAAGGATTTTTTTTTTTTTTAAATATTAGAGCATTGACTAAAATGTTTCATATTTTTCTTTATTTTCATCTTAATAAAATTTTAACAAAAATTAAAATTCAGTCCATTTGAAAAGATATTTTGCTAGAGATAATAAAATATATTTGAAATAATTTTTCAGGTGATATTTGATCATGGTTTTATGTCGGAGATCTCCGTTTTTCTTTATGAATATTGCTGTCATTTTCGCGTCAATTTTTTACAAGGATTTAAACGATCGTTTATGGTCTCATATTAAGCTTTCAGTAATTAGTAGTGAAATTTTTCTCGCTAAAAAAATTTTTCTTTTATTTTGGGTTTTTTTCATATCTCATTGTAAAAATAAATTTTTACTATTGTATTTTAATATGATCTTGTTGGACGCTATTTGCAAAATTGTTTCTTGGTAAATTTTCTTTTCAAAATATCATATGGAAATGAAACGAGAAATTGTAGGTTGGTAGATCTTTTATCTATGCAAGTAATATCTTTTCACTATTTTAATCGTACCTTGCTTAATTAATTAATTTGAGCAAGAAATTTCATTTAGTGCCATATCTGTAAATTTCATTCGGAACGATATTTCGTTTTACATAAACTCAATATTATTTAATATTATTATACAGTCTTTCCCTGGTGTGAATATGAGAAATACCGCGTGATAAAGCCTTTTTTTGATTTTTTGCTTAGATGCTCAGTAAGGTTTTTTTGCTATTTCGCAAGTCTTCTCGAGTGATAAAAATTTGCTATAGCATATTGTAAATATTGCGCAAAATTCTTTCTGCTCGCGGAATCCGCTATGATTTGCTTAAATGCTTAAAGAAAATGATCCACCGGTTTACCTGCTTTTATACCTATATTTTTATACCAATGATTGAACTATTTTTTTCCATTTTCTTCGTCGTCTTTAATTATTTGTATTTATTTTTTGATGCCTTAATTATAAATTACAATTTATGTGCCCTTATAAATCGAAACTTTCAAAAAACTGAAGAAACAAACATAAAATTATGTTTTATCTATCGCAATACAATATATAATGAAGAAAAAGAAACCTAGAACAACCGAAATATGAGAAATTTTTAAAAGAGTAAAAAATCCGGTTGGTAGATATTTATGAAAATATTATGTACATATTATGAACATTATAACTTGTGGTGGAAAATTTCATTCTTGTGAGCAAATATTGAACAAAATGAATGAACAGAATGATAAAAAATAAGAGAGAATGGCGATATCGCAAGAAAAGTGGCAATTTCAATGAATATTTTTGGCCAAAAGGCGAAGCATCAGTTTATGGAATAGAGGCTTAGAAGCTTAATGAATAAAATATCACTCAAAAAATTAGCGCAAATTGAGCAAACGCATAGTGTGTTACTGGGTGAATAAATAAATCCAAGCCGATCGCCATTCTCTTTCTCCTAATTAGCAGCTACCGAATACCTATCCATCACCTTTACCAACCAACATCGGAAGCAATTAGAAATGAAATCGATTAGCAAACAAGCATCGCGAAAAAAAAAACACCACAGTGGGGCAAGAAAACAATAAAAAAAGAGAGGAAAGAAATGAAATACCCGCAAAAGAATTTTTACGACAAAAACTAAACACTCAAATTAAAAATACGAAAAAACGATAAAGGAACCCGACATCGATAAAATCATAAATGGTGATTAAATAAATTATACGTATATTTTAATCGATTTTGAACAATGTAACCAAGCAAATTATTTTTTGTTAAATTTAAATATATAAGTTGACTCAGTTATAAAAATCGACGAAAAATCTAAGAGCAAAAAAAAGAATCCCAAAAACAATTCTAAAATATTCAAAAGCCCTTCATAAATAGAGTGCTGCGGTTCGTATAAGTTTCAGGCATATTTCTCCATATAAAACCGACTTCTATGGATTCTCTTCATAGCTAAGAAAACTAATAAATTTTCAGTGCTATGAAAATGAATAACTCCGAATTACTTTAAATTTCAAAGTTATTCAGAATAAAAATATGATAATTATATGAATAATAATTTGAAAACTTTTTTAAAATAAAACCTTATAATTACATATATAAAATAATTAATGACTTTTCGATAATTTCAGTAAAATAAAAAGAATTATACACATTTAAAATCTCATTTCTAATAAATTCCCAGCCATAAAATTAAATCTAATAATTTTTCATTAAATAGGAAAAACTCGATACGAGTTTCTTTAAACTAAAGATAACGGCTTGCGACATTAGCTTCGCTTATATGATCTGAAACATTCGATGTAGCATAGTCAGCGTGCAACGATCGCGCAGCACGTAATTCGGCAACAGATGGAGCGTTAGGTGTAGCTGATGTAATCGTAGAATTGCGGCGTTCGGGTGGAGGTGGCGGCTTACAACTTCCTGAATAACCCACTAAAATTAATTAAATCCAATGCCAATGAATGAGAGAGAATAGGACCATTTTCAGAATTTTCTTACAATATCTGCGATACAATTGTGTTAAATAAGCCTCTGATAACTTTGCAAGCAGCTATAATAAAGTTATAATATTAGTATGGAATATGCTAATGGAATAACAATTTGACAATCTGGCTGTTCTAGTTAAGCTTATCTTAATATCTAAATAGCAAATAAATGAAATTTGTGAAATAAAAAACAAGGAAAAAAATAACCAGAACGGAATCGTATTGTTTGCTGGGTAAACATAACAGAAGGGGCAGTTTTACAATAAAAGTCCAACTCAGATCCTAATTTATCAATTTGCTCAATTGTCTCTGAGATGAGTGAATTCGCAACCGAATCAGCTAAAATATCCACTTTTACGACTGCGAGATGTACAAAAATTAATGGGGCGAGAATATTATCCCATCTATATTCAGCATTGCTCATTAAAATGGGTCAACGATTTCTACGGCTAAAAAAACCATTATTTATATAAACCAGGATAAATCGTAAATCAAATTTACACTATTATTCATTTAAAAAATTAAGGCAAATTAACTATATGGTGAACGAATATTCGCTTAATTTCAGTTCGTGTCATTAAGCACTAAATTCTTCACAAATACTTTAGCAAAAATATTTTTTTAAAAAAATATTAGACTAAATCTATAAAAATATGTGAGTAAATTTAAACCTAGCAAAATATACGAAGATTAAAAAGCGAATAAATAAAACACCGTAAACATAAAAGAGGTTAGTGCCTATCATTTCCAGTTACGGCAGATCAGCTGGTTATTAATGTAGTAAAAAATTTTTACCAAAGAATCATTTGACGACAAAAATAAAAGTGGATAGGGAGTACCATCCGATATCCGTCATATAGATGAAAAGCAACCAAATATTTTGGCAAACTTACTTGTCACTGGCGAAGGAGCCATTTGGCTATTTGGATTATCTGGACGACATGGCGAAGACATCTGACGATGAGTTGCTATATTTGTTGAGTCGTCGCATGCAAAACTTAATGGCCTCGGGCGGCGCACTATTGTGTCGCATGTAACATCAGTAGAAGATGTAGATAGGTTACCTCCATTACGATAAATCACTGGAACCTAAAAATTATTAAACATGGCTTATTATAGTAAAAATAAATTAACAAAATTAAAGATATACAAAGATTTCTAATTAACAGGAAATTGCAAAAGGAAGAATATAAGGATAACAAGATTCGCTATTTAATTATTTGCTTAATTATTTATTTCTCAAACTCTTCTGCGAATTGCGACAATTATATTTATTTTTGTCTATCCTAAGCTTCCCCAAAATTCAGTTAAATCCATCAAATTCTATTTTTTCACAATTTTTTCTTAACAACAAAATTATCTCTCTCTTTTTTTTGTCTTTTTATTTAATGTCAATAAAATGATTGAAAATTGCAAACTATTGAAATAAACTAGCGGCAAAAATTTGATAATCAACCTGCTCTTGCGACAAAGTTGTAAGATCTGAACTCGCCGAAGATGCTGATATCGAATTCGACGTAGGTTTTTTTGGAAGAGGAGGCTTTGTATGTGGAAGAGACAACTGACTAGAGGTAGGAGGTGAAAAAGTCTGAGAATTGATACATCTTCTTGATTGTTCACCAATAGAAATTGTATGCGCTCGAAGCGATGTTAGAGCAGCTACTGAAGATTCTACAAAAGATTCTACATTTACATTAAAATATTAAGAAAATTTGAAGTAGAATGAATAATGAAAGTTAGATTTTTACTTCAAAATTTAATCAATTCAAAAGCATAAAATAAACCTTCAACAGTGGCTGGCCACGTGAACGTACTTGGCGAAGGGGAAGGAGTCCGATACGAGACATCATCACTAGAATATGCAACGGACGCTCGATTAGCGACTTGCATTAGGCAATTGCGCCATGACTGATCGGCACCTTGATGAATATCACCAAGTATAGTCTCAATTAATTTTCCAGAATCAACCGAGCGAATAGTAGATTGTAAATGATCAGTGGCTTGTCGCACATGACTTCCTTCATCTAATAGCCCTAACTCACTATTCTGGAAATATAAAAAACATTAATACTTTTATATTAATACTTAACAATATTGAAACTTAAAAGGTTAAAATTCATTAAAACTTAACACTCTGCCTTAAAGATTCGCTTTGAACAATTTTTTTTTAAATTTTCATAAATTTACAAAAATATTCGAAATACTTTCGTTCTATAAATCTACCATGTCTATAAATCTAAATGTAATTTGTGGATTTTTAAGCAGCTGAAAAAATATTCTTTAAATAAATAAAATATATTACGTAATCAAATATAAAATAATTAATTTGATTCATTATGTCCCATCTTTCATTAAAATAAAAAGTAGAAAATGAGTTAATAGATTATCCTTTAAATATAAAAACGATTTATCAAAAATTAGTTTAAAAATGCAAAAAAAGACATGAAAACAATTACCAGAACTGGAACTAGTGCAGATAAGAAAAAGGAAAGTTGGCTCCTTTGTTCAGTAAGCAAGGCGTGGCAAATACGTCTCTGCTCATTAAGTGATTGACTATCTACCGATCCTTTGCGCGATCTTACCTAAAAAAACTTTAAAAATTTCTAAAAAGAAAAACTTGATGAGATCTATATATTCAATATTATTTTAAATTTAATAACATAAAATTGATTTTGAAAAGTACGATTCTTTCAGGAATAGCATAAAAAAACATAAAGGAATAGCATAAAAGCTCTACTTTTCGGCAGAATTTTGAAGCATGACGGTCCATTTCAACAGCTCTTTGCTTCCAGTAAGACGTTTTATTCTGAATACTTAGCGCTAGCTCGTCCGTTAATGAATCAGCAAGTCCGCGAAGGCGATTTTCAACTGATCTTTGCCGTATACAAATTCTTGTTAAGCATGCTCCCATATCTCTTGTAGAACCTAGAAAATCATTTTTTATATACTTTTTCAAATATTTATCTTAATTTTGTTCCTATTCACTTTGAAATTTTTATAGAAAGCTCCAACTTCATCAGAAAAATCAGAAAAATGTCCTTTTTCTTTTTCTAGATTTGCGAAAGAGTATGCTAAAGATGTTTATTATAACCGAAAAATTGATTGGTTTATCTCAGTTCTACGAAAATCTCTCAAAATACAGACGTATAAGTGAGCCGATATCTTATGCCATATAAATTTGCGTTTGAAGTAAGTTAAAACAGAATAAAATGTTTAGAGGGAACAAAGAAAAAAATAAATACGAAGAAAAACAAAAAAATAGCGACCTTTAATATTATTAGCCGAATCTGCAACCGTTTGTAAGGCATCGATAAATGCATTCATGCAGGTGAGAGTTGCTTTAAGTTGCGTTGCTAATTTTAAAGCTTTGTGCGATACGTTTTCCCATGAAGGATACATTGACTACAAATAAATAAAAAAAGATCAAATCTTTCATATTTATGAATTTTTACAATAAAACATTCGTTCTGTGTCCTCTTTTTGAAGAACTATTTTCTTGTAAGATGTCAATGTCAATGTATCCCCAACACTAACTGAAATGTTATGGTATCTTTCAGTTTATTTAGGAAAAAATCTGAAGACATGGACAGTCGAGCGATATGAGGCCTAGACAGCAGAAAAATAAATGGTTTCAGTGAATTTGATTTTAGGCATGGGAGACTTGTAATTATGTCAATTACTCTAATCGCCAGTAATTAACACATTAGTTATAAAAAAAATGTTCTCTTCTAGGAAGATAGAGAAAATTGAAATTGTAAAATATTTAATTAATACTTGAATTTGCCTAATCTGCAGAAAAAAAATTACCTTCATATCTTGCATAATACTTTGATAAACCGATGCTAAAGCATTAAATTCCGCATCACCGTCCATGTTAGAAAATTTGAAGAAATATTTTTAAAAAAAATTAATAAAATGAAAAAAAGCCGACTTCGATACAGTATTTGCTGAAAAAAAGCAATATTTAATTGAAATTTGAGGAACTTTAAAATATTTCGAATAATCAAAAAGAAACACACCCAAGAAATTTTAAAAAGTTTTGAAAATTATAAAAATTATGATTTTTATAATTTTTTAAATTTTTTATGGTTTTTAAAAAAATAATTAAATAAAATTCTATAAATTTAATGAACTCGAAAAGATAAACAAAATAAAACTATTCATTTTATCCAAAATTTTTACGTTATACACCAATGTCACTTGTTTGATTCATAACGTTGCCAACGAGAGATCCAATCTTCGTTTCTCTTCTCGCATGGCCGCACTGTTTCTTCAACAGTAAATTAATATCACCACGGATCAGATGATAAGTGTTCTCATCTTTTACACAGGTGGAATTATTCCAAAAAAAGAAAAAAATTGATGCCCACCCACTTTCTGCTCACTATTTCTGGTTAGACTCGTTTCACTGGTTATTGAGAAACTTAGAAGAGAAACTTTAGTGAGGAAATGAGCACTTGTAGTAAACATATGGACCTCCCGCGTCGTTCGCATTCTCCAATGACAAATTTATTCCCGTCAATGATAGGGGGCTTGGAACTAATACTCGAAACGGCAATCCAAGCAAGAGGCATTCATGGACACACCAACTGCACAAATATAGCGTAAAACGAAGTGATCATAAAACTACTAAAGTGTATCGATTATTAGATAAATAAAATAATCGATTATATAATAAAAATCACAGAAATTAACCAAAATATCACAGAACAATTATGAAAAAAACAACTGCGAACTGTAAACTAATAGTGAATCAACGATTAATAAAAATTTCTCAAAAACTAATTTATTTTTATTTTTTACGAAAAAAAATATTTCAAATAATTATTTTTGAACGATCTTTAACCCCGTAATTGTGCGCCAATAAAAAATTATTCCTCAGAAATCGTTAAACGGTTAAAATTCAAAATAAATTTTTTAAAAAAGGTTGCAATTTTACGCAAATAATTTTGTCTAATTGCGATTTAAGTTAGTTCGATTGACCAACTCGTTTAACGTATTTTTATTGTAAATAAATAAAAATATAAAAAAACTCACACACGCCACCCCCCTCCGCCAGTTCAAACAAACAAAGCTTCAGCGAATCTTTCATTAATCAAATTTGGTCAAGCAGACTTAATCAAATAAAATTGTAGTGTTCATCGAATTACGGCCGCAGCTCGGCGAAAGTCGAAGAATGGTCGGAGTGTTGGCAATGCCAAGGTTCACTCATGTTTATGTTTATTTACTCATATTCTCTCCTAATAGTAAGTACCAATATATGCCAGCACCACTAGGATATTGTTTAGTCCAAATTTGGTAATCAAGTTCAGATATCAAAAATTGGAAGTAGTGGTACTGAAAATTGATAAAACCCTCTGATTACTTTGATAAGATTTTATTCACCGCATTATGCTTGGACTAGGGATCTGAATCTTTTTTTGAGCCACAAATCCCAGGATGTGGTGAAAATTTGATGAAAAGCTATAAATCCTTTTAGGAGTCTAATGAAAGATTCTATGGATCCTTTCGTTTAAGTATGAAAACTACAACTCTCATAAGTTTCCGAATTACAATTTCTATACTGTAAAATATATGTATACATATAAAATATAAATATTGTAAAATTGTTTTGTTCCCTTTTATTCTCATTTAAGGATTTCTGAAGGTTTTCAATGTGGTCCACGAACTACATAAATGACTTTAGGAAATTTTAGGTAACGCAAAAAATTTCATTTTCGTAGCGAAAGGACGTTTTCCTATTCAATGATAGCGAAATTTTTTGGAAGAAAGAATAAATTTATTAGAAAAAGATTATTGTTAATATAGTTGAATGCAATCCTTGGGAATTAAAAAAAATGAACAATAACAATGAAAGGTCGAGAAAACTAATTCATCGCGAAATAAATTGCATGAAACGCGGCAAAAAATTATGACGATGAGAATTAAACGAAAGATCCACGAAATTGGGCGACAAATCCCGGATTACTAATTAAATAAATAAGCCAAGCGAACATCGTTAATTTTAGATTCTATAGCTAATTTTTTTCTCTTTACTTAACTTATTTGCTAAAAATTTAGATCAAATTATAATTTTAAAAATTGAAAAAAATTATAATTATGGTTGGCGGATTTAATTATGGTACTTGAAATGGTAATCAAAAAATTCCGCACGCATAGGCCAACCGAATTTGTGATTGCGGTTGATCTTGGCGGATTCAGTTATGGTACTTGAAATGGCAATCAAAAAGTCCCATAAAGAAATAAAAGTATGGATTGACCGAACCATAATTCTTTAGTCGGTAATCTACACCGATAAAAAATACACTGATAATAGCAATAAATTGCACAAAATTGTTTCAGCAGCGTTTACTGGAACCGTGAATTTCCGATAAACGAAAGAAAAGAAACAACTGAAAGTTGTCGAGGAATTTTTTTTAGGTTAATAAAGTTGTAAATATTCAATTGAAAAAAGGAAACAAAATCAGGTTTTTGATGGAATAAGAAATTACGGAAGTAACGCTATCGACCTTCTAAAACTTTTCACCAAAGAAATGCCCGCTGGCAAAAAATTGCAATATTTATGATAAAAAACTTTTTAAAATTATTTAAATTATTTCAGCAATTTGAATATTTTTATTCATTTATTATTTCAGTTATAAAACAGAATCGAATAAAGGTTAAAGGTTAAAGGTTAAATAAAAATTCGAATCGCAAGGTCAGATGTAAATTAGAGAGTCAAACATTCGGTTAGTTATCAACTTCTAATTAGTAATTCTTTTGGTTTTACAATAAGAATATCACTTATTTGATAAGAAAATTTCATTTATGGAATTTAATAGGATTGCTTTTTATCATAAAATGATTCGCAAGAGATTAAAAAATATTAATGATATTAAAATCGAGTAACGATGACCACAATGATCCACTTCATTTATCACCTTTTATCACCAAATGGGCCTCTTCGAAAATGACCTTAAAATGATCAAATAGCCAAGACATACAGCTAATAGAAAAGAAGATATGGGATGATATGCTTCGAAATTACAACTACTATGTTCTCTAATTATCAAATAATTATCAAATAAAATTATCAAATAATTTTAAATAGCCCATGTGACTGATGGTTTCGTAAGATTTTTAACACCATAGCGCCATATATCAATCAGATGGTATTATTGTAAATATTGCACAAAAATTCGATGGCCCAGTTGCCATCGAAAATCGATCCTATTTTTGCACCTTAATGGAGATAAATAATGAATTATTCAGCAAAAAAGAAAACATGGCATTCGAATCGATGAAAAAAATTATAAAATAGTTTTTCTTATTAAAATTGACTTTATAATTCAATATTTATTTGAATTATTACGATTGAATATTTATTTATTGAAATCCGATGCAGCGTAGCCGAGTGATTATTGCTAAGATTAAGATTATCCTTGAATTTTTTTTTAAAGACTCCACACCGTTATTGGCTAAACTCGCTCCGCTAGCTTGTTGCACTGGACAAACATACCAGAGAGTCGCTTGGCGATAGAAGTACAAGTGAGTCATCTGGATTTTTGGACCGGTTCAGTCCTTCCGGGAATAGAACCTCAGAATCGGCGCTTCGAATTGAGCAACAATCCACTAAGTCATTCCGGTATATCGAAGCTCAAATTTCTGGGAATTTGCGAGCTTGCATTTAAAAAATCTGGTCGGCGGTGTAAGCTAATGTATACTCTTATTCCTAAGTGATTCCTTTGTAGAAATTTCTCACCATATTAACAACTATTGCAACCAATCTAAACAGAAATGATCGCTTATTAATAATTTTTTAATTTTTTGATGTTCCAAGGTAAAAGGAATATTATTGATGAATTCAAAAACTATATCGGATAGTGGCGTAACCATCTGAACCTATGATCAACCACAAGTAGAAAACGGAAAACAGAACGGTGAACCACTTTTAGTGATTGATTTGCCATTTTTGGAGGACGAAGTATCACGTATTAATATCTTTCTCATGATAAACCAAAATTGCGAATCAGCACGATACTCATTCTTTGAAGTGAATAATAAATGGCTATGGAATGGTGAAACGTTTCCCTTATAAAGGATAACAAATCAAAACGAAATGCACGAAATCTTAAGTTTTTCGTATATTATATTAGACGATTTAAATCATAATTTAAATTTTGCATAAAATTTTCGCTGAATTTCAGTATATCTGATCGGCTTGAAAACCGCTAATTTAGCCAATCAAATTATGAATGGTCCGAGTCTTTTTAAGAGTTCTCACCAGCTCCGCTGGCTTGTCGCAGTTGACAAATAGGCCAGAGAGTCTTTTGGCGATAGAAATATGCAGATGAGTGGCCAGCATCACCCGGATTTTTGGACGAATTTACTCCCACGCAGAATAGAACCTCAGAATCGGTGCTTCGAATTGAGCAATGACCCACTAAGCCATTCTATCCCCTAAGCTTCGAGCTTTTAGAAGATAAAAAAGGAAAAATATTTTTGGCTAAAGAAATTTTTCTTGCTATTAAAATATTTAAAACCATAAGAATTTAAAGAGCATTATTAGAAACATAAGCATTATTAGTTAAGATACTGAATGCAACCCTCAGTCCCCCAGGCCTCTGGAGGAGGACCCAAGGCTGAGGATGACAGCCATTGCCACCCATAAGGGGTGAAAAAAAGTCTTTTTCTTCGACGCATTTTATACTGAGACTAAGAAGATGAAAACGATTACGTGATGAAGTGTGAATAGGCGAAAAATGTAAACACAATTGAACTAAAGCCAAAGCAATTGAAGCCAACGATTCGACAAAATAAACAATTCTATTGGTGAGAACTTAATCTCACCATGAAAAAGTCCAAATACACTTTGTAATTTCTTAGATGAATGC